ATTCGTGATTGTGAACAGTCGCTGCAAACAGGTGGGTACATTTGTGATGTATTCCAGAATTATTGCACTCTTTATTCATATAATGCTTCGTTTGAAAATTGTTGTATGCGTGAGAACCCTAGTCTAGGTGTCTCGTACAATAGTGCCTTTGATGAATGCGAAAACAGTGGGAGGTCACCTGCCCGTTGTATCCGGGAGGAGACGCCCCAAGTCGTTGTACCCGGAAGGGGAAAAACATCTCCACTGTCTCCTGGAAAGTATCCTACGAACCGTTGTACCCGGGGGTGGGAAGGTTTTCAGTTACTTCCATGCCGTTGTATCCGGAAGGTTGTTGTATGTACATAGGAGGTTTGCGATAGGGCTGAGTAGGGAGTTTAGACCTTGGATTCTATGCATACGGTGAAAATGTTTTACAATGCTTTATACTGGATAACTGTGCAATAATGGTGAGCTTGTTGGTTATGCTCACCCCCATTGTTTGTTTCTTGTTGTTGTTCCTCTCTTCCTTCTTTAGGTTGAGATGAGCTGGAGGCAGTGGCGTAAAGACGAGCGAGATGGTGGTCAATGATCAATTGTGTTACTCTTATGCTTCCGCCTGTTATGAATTGTTGAAATGCTTATTGACTTAGTTTTTATTTTTCCTGCTTTGAACTGAATAATTATGCTATCGTCGGATTTGAACCTTGGGGTTATGCTTTTACTTATTGGTTAATTTGGAACTTATGAAATGCTTGTTTGGGTTTGATAACTGTTAGTAACGCATGTGTAGGTTCTATCTGATTTGTTATATGTTGGTTAATTGCTTTCGATACTTAGGTAGCGCCCGTTGAGTTTTAAAATTTAATTTGAGATTTTGAAAAAAATTAACTCTAATTTTAATAAATTTATTTGGTAAATTCTTTAAATAAAACGGGGCGTTACAACCCGGCTCCTACTCAGGCCACAGTAGTCACACAGTTCCGCGACTATCATGCTGAAAAATTCTCAGGGCAGGGAGATCCCCGTATCGTAGACGAGTGGATTCAGGGCCTTGAGTTTATTTTCGAGGTCATGGATTGTCCAGACAGATATCGCGTAATCTGCGCTCAGCTTCAGCTAACCGGTGATGCCCGGCTCTGGTGGAACGCCTACTGGAGCATGCGTCCCGGCGAGAAGGCGGGATGTACATGGGATATGCTCAAGGAGCTAATCCGCGAGAAGTACTACCCCACTTATTACAGAGCAGAGATGGAGCGTCAGTTCTTATCGCTCCAGCAGGGTACTCGTACTGTTGATGAGTACGAGAGAGAGTTTACTAGACTTGCAGCTTTTGTTTCGGACATGGTTCGCACGGAGGCACAGAGAGCACAGCGCTTCATTGACGGGCTTTACCCAGCAGTCCGTCACAATATTGTAGGTCACGGGACCCAGACGTATGCTCGTGCAGTTTCTATTGCCCAGGAGGTGGACGCCAGCATTAGGAGGGAGGCTGTCCGTGATCGTTCTCAGCCATCCGCCCCAGTTCAGCCATTCACAGCTCCACCAGCTATACCATCTGCTCAGCCAACGAAGGAGAAGAAGAGGAAGGGGAAGGGTGCACAGACCGACAGGAGGACCCGACAGAGACAGCAGCAGGTTCCACCGTGCCCGACTTGCGGACGACTTCATCGCGGAGAGTGCCACATGGGCTAGGACATTTGCTACTACTGCCACGAGCCTGGACATTTTGTGAGTCGCTGTCCGAAGAGACTTCAGCAGCAGCCCCAGCAGCCTCAG